GGTACCAGGAGAATCGCTCAGTGAAGGAGAGCCCATCTAAGCCATTTATAAGGCTGTACAACGTAAGATAAAAGATTTATAAGCGTTTAAAAATTATAAAAACGGCCACCATCTTGAAAAATCTACCTGAATCCTACATATAGGCTACCGCCTATATAATACATGCGTGGACAAATTTGCGAATTAAAAGCTGGCCTAATGTATTGATCAAGCAAAACCATCAAAATAAAGTACCGCTAAATCACACGACAGTCACATGATTTCAATTACCTGATTTAGTGACTCCAGAGTGAAGTACATGGCAGAGCAGGAGGTGGAGAGAGGCAGGTATTGCTGGGAGACTCTGTCAACTTCAGCCATTACAGTATCAGTCTCCTCCATCTTCCTCTGAACTTCTGGAGCCTCTTCCTTAAGAGTCTCAAGCTCAGTAATGATTCTAAAAATAGACACAACAAAGATTACATCATGTAATAAGTGTTACTATATTTAGATGTATTGTTACTATTATTAGTGATGATTCTAAAAATAAATACATTACATCATGTAATAGTTGTTACTATATTTAGATGTGTTGTTACTATTATTAGAAGTTACTACATGTATAATTAGAATTGGGGATACCTGTTGTCGTCTAGGATAGGACAGGGTTCAAGATTGGGTCGTAGCTCTCAACGTCCTAGAGGGATTGAGTATGAAATAATGAGTGTTTTCTGACAGGGTTCTTAGTTTTAAAAAAAATCCAAAAATATTCCAACGCTGTTGGAAAAAAGTCAGAAAAAATTCCAAAAATAAAAATAAAAATATTTCCATGATCTTGTAAAAAAATCAGAAAAAATTCCAAAAATAAAACGAAAATAATCCAAAAATATTATAACACTCATAATAAAAAATTCAAAAAAATTACAAAAATTAAATAAAAAAATATGAAAATATTCTTAGGCTGTTGAAAAAAAAATCAGAAAAATTTGAAAAATAATATAAAAATAACCTGAAAATATTTTTAAACTCATGATTAAAAAATCTACCGTATTTCCTTGAAATCTTTTCGCCCTCGAACTCTATTCGCCCTTGAATTATATCCGCACCATTAAGAAGGCTGAATGAAATAATATTCGCCCTTGAATTATTACCGCATGTTGCGCATGCGCAGTAGAAATAATACACGTGTTGCCCACGTGTGTTTACATGAGCATCCTCTTATCATAACCTTTGCAATGGCTTCTAAAAAAAGAAGTTTTGATGTGGCTTTTAAGCTAAATGTAGTTGAAGAGGCTAAGAAAACAAGTAACAGAGCAGCTGCAAGAAAGTTTTCTATTCTTAGCAATTGAACTATTAAAACTTATGAATTTACTTTATATTAAAAATAGTTAATAAAAATTGGAGTAGGTGTGGTTACACTTAAAATGGTGACTGGAGCTGAACTTAATAGTGTTCGCCCTTGAATACTATTCGCCCCTGTATTGTACCCGCAGTGCTCTTGCTTCTGAAATTAATAGTACCCGCGGATAGAATTCAAGGAAATACGGTAAAAAAATTCCAAAAATTGAATTTAAGAAAGCTAAAAATACTCCCATGCTCTCTGAAAAAATCAAAAATATTTTCAAAAACAAAAATAAATAATCTGAAAATATTCCCACTGCCAAAAAATCAGAAAAAATCGAAAAATATAGTAAAACTATTCTGAAAATATTTCTATGCTCGGAGAAAAATTATAAATAAATTCCAAAAATAAAATAAAGAAAATCTGAATAAATTCCCACACTCCTGCAAAAATTTTTAAAAATTCCAAAAATAAAATAAAATTCGAAAAATACTCCCACACTCATGAGAAAAAAATACAAAAAATTCCATAAATTAAATAAAAAGTATCCGAAAATATTCTAACGCTCTCGGAAAAAATAAGAAAAAATTAACTCAAACTTTATACACAACATAATGACAGGTACGTGTATATGTATCAGAAAATATTACAAAAATTGAGAATTCTCTACTTTTTAATCTTGGCGAAATTTAGCTAATGCCCCTGTACTATAGTACAGAGGATTTGACCCAATTTTTAAACAACTTTAAAAATTTATAAAAAATCTAAATTTAATTGGAATTAGCTCAAACTTTCTACACAACAAAAGAACATGTATATGCATCACTAAATTCCATATACACAATTAAAATCAGACTTTAACTAAAACACTCCTCTCTCTCTCTCTTACCTGAGCAA